TGCAAATGGATTTTACAAGATGTTCGTATTTGTATATGTGTGTGTGTGTGTATACACACTCACACACGTGTGTGTAAAATTAAGACAAACTATTCTATCTTCACTTTGAAATAGTTCCTTTAAAATAGAAATGCAGTTCCAGAGAAATCATACAGCAAACTATCTCCAGAAGTCCAACCATGTCCATTCTTTCAAATGATTATGATTCACAGAATTCACATAGTCCAAAGTTAGGAATTAAACAAAGAACTGCATCCATAAAACTCTTTAGTTTGATCATTGAAGTAGCAGCCATTTGGGATTTTTTAGCAACTGTGTGCTGTACTCTTCAACGTCTAACATTATTAGAGACAGTTATAGAGGCCTTAAATTTTATAAACGCTACAAATAACGGCTGGCATTCAGTGACTTCTAGCATTAAAATAAAAGCTACAACGGAAGAGACAAATTTCCCCTCCTCTCTTTATCTCCTGTTTACCTCAAAACATCTCTCTATAAATAAAAATGTAAATGTTCGTTTGTTCAAAATCTTAAATCTCCGAAAGTTCTTCACCGATTGCTTTGAAATTTTGACACAACGTTGCATTCGAATACGTGCGTGTTTTATATACCTACTATTATATAGATGTCACACCTGTGACAGGTAAAAACATGCTTTTTTTGAAAAACAGCGCCATCTGTTGGACATAAAAGCAATTTTACGTAAACAAAAACATATTACAAACGTGCGCTTTCTCTTTTCTTTTTTTTCCATTTAACCAGACTGAGCCACAGCAATGCGTGGCCGGGTACAGCTAGTTTTCTATAAAAATCAACTATATAAACTTTATTTAATACATATATATTTCATTGATCCTTAATTATAAACTCTGTCAAAGCTGATATAATAAGTGTTCTAGGAAAGAAAAGGCAAAGTAAGTGGGACTCGGCTAAAAGCCGATGACCAGAGTGGAATAGTGAGGTGGTGAGTAGACCGGCTCTTTGTAATTTTTTGTAATTCTTCTTTGGATAAGCAGCACTCACAAGCGCTCCAGACAGTTGCTCTTCACGAAGAGACTCCAGGACAGCAATCTCTAATGGGTGTAATGTTCTGGGAGAAGAGGAAATAGCCATCTTGCTCAAACCATGGCCAGATGCCTTCCAAAGGATACTAGATTTCCTTACCCCCTTTTCTAACAACAAGTCTGAAAACTTGGATCAGTTTCCTTCAATCCTTAGCAAAAGAAGTTTTAAATACAAATTTAAGGCTTTTTTAGATTCACTTTCTAACACAGAATGAAGCAACATATTTTAATACTGGACAAACTGAAGGATGTTTTTGAACAAAGAACCCAGAAGTTGAGCGTCTCCTTCTATAAATAGTGTTTATAAGATGGTGTGGAAGAAGATCGAGTTTGCATGACAAGATTGAGACTGATCTAAGTGGATTTAAAAATGTCAAGCTACAATTGTGATATGGAAAATGTTCTAGTTTATTATTTGAAAGAACTAAAAATCAAAATTGTTAAAAGTAAAAGAAAGGAATATAAAGTTAATTTGATCAAAGACAAAATACGTATGTTGTTATCTCTGATAACCCTTAATGGACTTTTGCTGGTCAGAGTTGAAATGATGAGGGATTAAGTACTTATTTATAGATAACAGATGGAATATGGGATATTATTGTTGTTATTTTAAGAGCAGATGATAAGCTACTAAAATTGTTTATACTTGTGATGAAGGGGAAAGCAACCTCTTTTATATTTCTTTTTCTTACTATATTCTAATTTTTTCTTTCTTATTTTCATTTTCTGTACCATTCTTTCTTTTTAGTTTTTTAAAGTTTGTATTACTTTTTAACAAAATTACTATTAACACCCACCCCCGATATAATAGGTGGACACGTTATGTTCTACTTGTAGCCTCTAGAAAGTTCTAAGAATTTTTTTTAATAATAAGCAAAATAGATTTCTAATTACTCCAAACAGACTTAACATACTTTTTCTAAAAATATAAACAAACTTCCTACACTACGCAAAAGTAAAAAAAAATAAATCTGACTTCAAACAGACTGAACATACTTTCTCTAAAAAAAATAAACAAAATCTGATCAAATAAAAATGAAACAAAAGGTAGTCTTCTGGTGAAGTCTTTACCTGCTTCTGCTGGAAAAATGTTGCCTATTGCTGATGTAAATAGATATAATTTATCTGAATGTACATAATTTTTAAAAATGCTCATGACATGAGATCTCTGAATGAAACTTTTATTAAACAGCTCTTTAAAAAGGCTTACTTGAATTATCATCACAAATGTCATTACTTAATGACAAATCCATTTTTTGTTTTTCATTCGAACAATTCTTAACTGCCCTTTTTGTGAAAACATAACCTGACATGCGTACAGGTTTTTTTGCAGATATACACCGCTGAAGATGCGAAGGTTTGACAGGGACAATATTGAAAGGAAGATCAGTCAAATGAAAGAGAAAGACGAGATGGAAGTCGTTGGACAACCCCTTATCTCAGGGGTGTCAAACTGGCGACCCGCTGGCCGGATGCGTCACGCAAAAGCCGCACCCACCCCAGCTCCGTCAAGGGGAAAAAGTCATGATACGTCGCAACATGTCATGTGACGTGGCAAGTTTGACTCCCCTGCCTTATCTAGTAAGTTGGGAAAAGTCACTTGATTTGGAGGAAGATGGTCAGGTACATGGTGCATAATTACCACACAGAAAAAAATAAACAGTAAGGACAGTGCAAAGAAAATGTATAACCAGGATGTATCCTCTATATGTGTGTGTTCAACCATACAGTGCAACATTCATGCATGTACATATTAAAGTATGTATCACACAAAGCCTCTTTAGGTCAGCTTTCCAAAACCTAGTGCTCTCCAGAGTAACTGGAAATAGTCCCTAGAGTTCCCAGCCAGCATGGACAAGTGCTGGTCTAAGTCATTTCTTTTAAATAAAGGTAAAGATAAATGTTTCCCTTATCCAGTTATATCCAGCACTAGGGGGCAGTGCTCATCTCCATTTCTTAGCCCAGGGAGCCAGCATTGTCCCTTTCCGTGGACATGTGGCCAGCACTTGGAATGCTGTTACTTTCCCAAAGAAGCGGTAACTATTTATCTACTCACATTTGCATGCTTTCAAACTGCTAGTTTGGCAGGAGCTGGGGCAAGTAACGGGAGCTCATCCCGTCATGCGATGCTCAGGTCTTGAACCGGGGCTGTCAGCTTTTCAGCCGACAAGCTCCTTTAAAATAGTTTCAGTTGAACATTGAGTATTTACTGCATAAGCCCTGAGAGAAGATGGACTGTCATAAGCAAAGTGAAAATAAAAGCCTCAGGAGGAAAGCACACAAGTATAGGAATTTTCCTAGTGAGCAAAAGTACAAAATATATTTAAAGAAAGATGGTATGAATAGAAAGAATACTAGCTGTGCTGACTTAATTTCCCCTGAGTGGCATTTGTAAATATATAAGTAGAGTTTTAACCTGGTTTACTTTGTGCATTCACTGAAATCTGAGAAAGATTTTCAGTTTTTCAGCAACATTCTGTGGGGAAAAAAGGAAAGAGGATTTCAGAGGACCTTTTATACATAAATATTTAGCAACTTGGGGAATGTCAATAGCAACTGCTCTGATCATCATCAATATTTGACTTTCAGACTGTATCTTTATTTTCCTCCAGTTTATCTATTAGGACCGACAGTTTAATAGCTTTTACCAAAATTATGCTGTGAAATACATACTGATCATTTTGTAACACGAGGCTTAGAACTCTATACATTTTAGGGAAGATTAATATATGATGCCTGGGTAGAAATGAGGGAATTCTTCCAGCTGCTCAAAACACATGAATTGATAATTTAGAGATAAGTAATGAAGTGGCCAGTTTTGAGGATGTTGCCAAACTATTTGATATGCTAAAAAAATGATTGTAAAAAGCTCCAAAAGACTGAAACTGGCCGGGCAGACAATCAAATGGAAAATGAAACATAATACATTTAAATGTAACATACTAAACACTGGAGCATTATCCCCGCCCCCAATTTCAATACACTGGTAAAAAAAAACAACCTGTGGTGTATGTAAGAACTTGAGGTCATAGTAAATAGTGTGGTGAAGATGTTACTTGCATATATCAGTTCTGAAGATTTTCCTAGACTGGAGTATAATATTCTGAAAAAAATGACAGCCCATTGTTAACTGGTATGGTCCGTGGTGCATATGACTGAAACAAAGAATGCCTGGGACAATAAGCAGTAGCTCTTTCTGGGGAACAGTAATCAGAACTCTATTCAGTTCTAATAATCAAAAAGGAAAGAGAAATTTTCAGCCCCTTCCCCCCAAATATTTTTGCAACAGGCTCCAGTGAGTGGACCTCCAGATTTCATTAAAAAAAACACTTAGTCCAGTGATGGCGAACCTTTTAGAGACCGAGTGCCCAAACTGCAACCCAAAACCCACTTATGCATCGTCGGGTGCCAGGTGGATGTGGCCCATTGGGTGGGTGTGCCCCATTAGCTGGGTGTGGCCCATTGGGTGGGCGTGGCTGCCGTGGTAATGGCAGACTGGGTGGGACTAAAAAGTTCAATCAATCAATTCCAACTTTGCAAGATCTTTTTTTTCACTGCCAGAAGTTGAAATTGACTGATTGATTGAACCTTTTTTTTTTTTGCAGCGGCGGAGGCCTAAAGCGAAAAGGTTTTATAAAACCCAGCTGAAGGCCTAGGACTGGGGCGACAGCGCGTGTGCCCACAGAGAGGGATCTGGGTGCTGCCTCTGGCACCCGTGCCATAGGTTCACCACCACTGACTTAGGCCCATTTTAATCTACAAGCTTAAAGTGAGGCAACCATCCCCAGGGACATAGATACACAGCTATAAATAGCTACTGTATATACCTCACAATTAAAATGTTGTACAAAACATGTATATGTATGTGTTTGTGTAAGTATATATGCAAATATATATTTATATTTACACGTAGCACAAATATTTAAAATGCCAAACCTTTACAAAAGTTATGAATTCTTCTACTTTTTCATTGGACATGATCAACTTTTTCTGCACCATTTCAAGTGCCTGTTCACTTTGCCTGGCTAAGCTGTGAAGCTGCTGAGAGGCCGTTGTTTCAAGTTCAGTCATGGTATATTCTGTCTCCGCCATTTTAGCTTCCAGATTGGAAAGATTAAGTTCCTGAAATACAATCACAACAAATCAAGCTGGTAAATGCTCAGCACATCGCTGAGTGTGTTAAGTATATTTTGGCAAAGAGAAAACTTGATTTGAGCAGACTGAAGATGAGGACACAAATGTTCTTCTATTTCTGTTCAATTTTTTTAAAATGTCTTCTAGCATTTCTGAATTGGAAAGAAATTAACACAGTGTCTAGAAGATCCTACAAAAAAATTAATCGTAAATCTCATTGCCATCTCCTACTGTATAGTCTTCTTTCCTGCCCATTGTTCCAGTTAGATATAAAACACACTAAGATCGTCTGTTGTTTGAAATTCAGGGGAAATAATGTCCTGCTTGTCTATCTTATATAAGTCCAAATGCTGGTTCCTTTGTAAACTGTCCAGTATTTAGTGCTTATTATACCTGAGTATCTTGGCTTTAAAAAGCTCATGCTTCCTGTATTGAAGCTGTAGGAGAAATTGAGACAGGTTTATGCTCAACCAGACAGAACTATGGGAAGAGAATTTGTAAAATCCAGAGAAAGATTTATAATATAGGATTAAAGCCTGTAACAGTAGACTGCATCCAAACTTTCTTTCTAGGTGCATTGTTAGACATAATTCAGTGTAACACTGAGATCTCCTTCAAATCTTTGCTTTATCTAGAAACAGAAAAACAAAGGAACTCCAAAATGTGCAATAACCTGGCATTATATGAATTCATTCAGAACTTTGCCTAATAAAAAGGGACAGTAGGAGAAGAAAGCAAATTTCATCAGAGGTTTGCTTTCTGGTTTCTCACCTGTTGCAGAAAATATTTGTCCGATAAGGCTACATTAAAGTCCAAGGAGAGGGAAAATGCTACTATAAAATTATATCTCACCCTAGTTAAAAGCATTCAACATTCTATTGTAATTAATGTAATTCAACTTCAGAAATTTCTTCTGAATTGCAACCATATATTATATGGCTTTAAATAAAACTCAAGACAAATGCTACTATGGGCAAATTAAAAATGCAAAGGCACCGGTCATGGAACTGTTTACTTGTAAAAAAAAAATGTGCACCAGAAAACATAGGGCAGTTTGTGAAACAATTTAATAATGATTTCATTGGCATATATTTTAAATTGTTTAACTGTGTTTTCTTTCGTATTTTTTGTACACCTCATTTTTATTGGTGCCCCGATGAACTGAAGGCAGGGTGTAAGTCTAATAAATCCTCATCATTTTAATCATCCATAATAACTATAATTGTGTACCTTTTTCTCCAAGTCTTCTTTAGCTCTGTGATACATCTGTTCATACTGTGCCTTTTCTTTGGTAGCTACATTAAGCCTTTGCTTTAATGAATCAATGGATATTTTTTTATTTGAACAGTCCTCAGTTAATGCCTTTGCCTGGAAGAGCATCCAGAGAAAAACTATTAAGGAAAGCATTTAAATAATTTAGATGGAAAATCAACACTATCAAAATACTACACACATCTAATTGTACATAATCCATTTACCTTCTGAAGAGAATGCAGGCTATCTTGGCTACTATTCAAACACATATACTATCCATTGAAGTCAATAGGATTTATTTGTAGGTTAAATGGCCATGTGACTGCAACATTTTACTATTTATCAAATTCATGGGCAAGAAATCAAATGCTAGCACTTAAAAACTCTGAAACTTGCTAACATGTCAACATATGGTATTGGTGGGAAAAATTACAAATAATACAGTCCAACAGTTAATAGCTACTTATTATTTGTAAAACAAATCTATATATAAAAAAGGAATCAATTTACAAAGCATATCTAAAGAGATCATATTTTTGCATATAATAGGCTTGATTTTTTTTCCTAACTGAATGTTGCCAGAAAATTGAAATATTTTTAATACTTAAAACACCACCTCGTTGCATAGTATAACATAGGTCTCTGAAATGCTTTTTCTTACTGCCTCCAAGAAATTATCCTGATTCAGTTTTATATTGTCTGAGATTTTTCCTACCCTGCCAATTTTGTCTCTTGGGCTGGCAGTATCTAAGTGATATCTCATATACACAGAGCAAGATAGTTTTGTCTGGAACTGACAATGTATGACTGCCAGCAGAAACTATGTTCACATCTAAAAAAACTAGCACCTGCTTTTAAAAAAGAATCAAAGCAGTGCTTTGTTTTTATGTTTCTTGGATGTTATGATTTGCAGCCTAAGAGATTCCTACACATGTGACTTGTTTGCTATAAAACAGGGCTAAAATACACTGCAGAGGTACTAAGGGGCAGTTTCTCTTCCAATCTGTTTAAGCATCAGAAAAATGCATTAAATATTTATGAAGAAAACAACTTTCAGAAGAGCATAAAATGGAATCATTAAATATATAACAATGGAGGGGATCACGTATAACTATTAGTATAAAAATAATTTATAGGTCATTGTTTTTTCCCTTTATGGTATTTTCTCCTGATTTACACTGCAAGAAGAATCTTCTTTGATGTCTCTTTTCAAGAAACAGATGTGTGAAATTCCAGCTGAACAACATACCCAAAATACTAGGAAGCATTTAATTATCGCATTAACTTATTATTCAACGGCTTTAATGAAACTGTAGTAATCATAATGGTGGCTGCTACAATCTGATGGAATTCAGTTTCTTGCTTGAAAATAAACGCTAAACATTAAAGACCTTTTCTTCCAGACATTGCAATGTTTCGTTAAAGCTTTTCTCCTTTTCCTGATATGTTTTCATACGCAGCCTCCAATCTTCTATTAAATGCCTTTTCATACTTATATCTCTTTCCATTCTAGAAATCCTTGAAATAAAGAGAAAACGAAATATTCATAGAATTATGTAACTAGCATGTCATTATTTTGAATAATTGTTAAAGCACAGTTCCATACTTATCTTTGTACCATTTGTCAAGTGAAAAATGTCAAAATTGAAGTTTTCCCTCTCCATAACAGCATTAAAGGTAGATTTAATCTCTTTGGGCTTTTGAATTTTAAATTCCAATTTCATAGTAGCAGTTCAGAACAATAAAAATACACACTAATTTATAGAAAACCATACTGTGATGATGATTTAATTATAAACAAAAGGGGATTATGCTACTAGTTTACTAGGCATAAAAAGGCAAAATAAATTAAAATTAATTATAGCTTTTTAAAAGTATCACTATGTGAATTGGCTGTCATGATTTTGAACTACTATTTAATACATAAAAAGCTTTGTATCGATATGAAGGTAGTTTTAAAAAGTAAAACGCAGTTATGGTATGGAAAATCAATAGATCAATTTCAAAGATGAAAATGTGACTTCTCCAAAATGAACAACTTCTAAATAGCAAACGTAGTAGGAAATAATAGGAAAGAAAAGTGTTCACTGGGTGACGTATCAGACAGAAATCTACGCTTATGACGCTGTTGCTTGTTTCTATTTTCTTGTGACAACAACATGCTATCCCAATAAAATGAAACAACATAATACTTATACATTTTTTAAATTTTTATTACTTTTTATATCTTTAAGGCATCACGTAGATCCAGCAAAAATCACAATAAAAGCCAATTGAAAGAATTCTCATTTCAATAGGCACATCTAGTTTATGGGGGCAATCAAGAATATTGAAGCATATTCAGTATCTACTCTACAGTATAGTGGTTGGACATAGGCATATTCTTTCTCACCTCCAGCTGGATTCCTTAGGTGTTCCTCAAGGCTTTAATCAATAAAAATATGGATTTTGTTCAATCCTTTTGAAGACGAAACATTTTAATGAAATAATTTTCATTTTGCAAGATTAAACATGATTACTAGGCTCACTCACAATTTGGTATTTTTTAATATTGAACTAAGCAACTAATTTGCAAAGATTATACATTTTAATAAACTCAAAAATAAATAAAAAATTCCTTTTTTTGCATTTTTCAGAAATTATAAAATTGGACATGTAATCCAATTTAAGCATCTAAACCTTGATATGCTTCTTAGCCCTTAGGCAAAGGATCACTGCATTTGAAAAATTGCTTTCAAGTATGCTGAGGTATTCATTTAGAGGTTGCACACTGCAATCTGATTTAAAAAAAAAAAAAAAAAAAAAGATTTATTAGTTATATGCCATCTTTTGTACTGAAAATTACTCAGCAATTTAAAAGAAAAATACGCATTAATACTTTTCTCATAAAAGAGTAAATAATATGAACCATACATAAAAAGCCGAAAGAGAAAAAAATATGGAAAGATCGTGTTCCGAAAAATGTCCATGAAGTTAAAGCAAATGCATTTTTGCCACAAGGGGGAGCCAAACACAACCAATAGGTAAGTAGAAACCTACTTTTCTTGTAGTTCCTGCATCTGTTCTTCTTTTCTTTGGACTTCGCATTTCAAAGATTTAATGGTTGATGAATGTTTAGTGATTTCATTATTTGCATTCTAGAATAAATGAAATATTTTATTGAAGTCTCAATAGTGTTGATGTAGGATTACTCAGAGCTGTAACTGTTTCAAAGTGAAACTTTGCTATTTAACAGTTTAGTCTATTTTGATTTTAGCATAGCAAAGAATTCCACTAATGTCCTTGTACTTAAGTTATTAATGTTTGACTGTGATGCTTTTATACTTATTCAGGACTAGCCTACAGAGAAATACATTTCACCTTATTTCCAAATGGAATATCTCTGCCAGAATTCTGATGATGTCTAACAATGAGTCTCAGGAGTAAAATATCTATGGCTGAGATTTTCCCAAAACAGGTGCTTTTAGCTGCTGTTGCTAAGTATGGAAACTGTCTACTATACTAGATTAGAAAAGTTACTATTCATACTTGGTTCTACTTACTTTAATGTAATTATTTTCTTAATTACACATTTGTAAGACTGCATTCAAAAGGTTAAAGTTTTCTCTATTAGAGTTAGTTTCAGGATTTTGTAATACATAAACACGAACCTTAAATTGCTCTAAACTGTAATTTAACACAGTTATTTAATGAGTATGATTAATAAGCTACAGTTTGCTGGATTCATTACTCCATTTCATAAACTATGGTATATAAATTTCACTGGCCGGATTCACATATAATGCCAAGCCCAACATTTAAGAAAGTGGCTTGATATGGCATGCAGTCCTAGTTATGATTTAATGATTTGATCTGGTTGTCTGCTGTTTCTTATCATTCCACCTCCATACATGATCATTTGTAGTGCTTTGAGCTCTGTTTATTTCTAAAGATACACTTCTAAAGCTTCTACTAGGATCCTCACAAATGTTGAAAATTAAACGGCATGCTGATAAGGCTGTTGTCCTAAAAAAAAGATCCATTTTTTGTAGATGCTATTCAGGAAAAATCGCATGGCACCAAGTTTCTCAATGGATTATGTGTACTTCAGAAGATATGACAAGAGAGGGGAGAATAATCACAACAATATTCTTAGTAATTTCAAATAATACGCATTATTAGTTAGCAATAACTAAACAGGTGATGTGAAATTGCATAAATTAAGAGTCCTTCATTGGACTTCTAAATAAAAGGCACTGTCTAGCTATTCTTATACGCATTACACATGCACACAGTTTTCAATGCACTGAAAAAAATGAGTTTACTATAAGAATAGGCCAGTCTTAATCATTTTTGGTTTTAGGGAAGATATACATTAGATCAAAAATGAGTGAAACATCACAATCTGGGGAGTCCTTAATGCTCTTTTAGCTTGGTGATTTACAGATGTTTCCTGGCCTGCCTAGGTAATATCATTAGGGCTAGTGACTGTGGTGTTTGCTCTTTGTTTATATACAGTAGCTTGCCTGGCTAGTGTTGATGGGGGTGTGTTTCTCATTGGTATGATTATGGTACTACCTAATCATTTTCTGCTTGATTCTTTACCTGGTGTTAATCCCTGTTTATCTGGCTGTTGGCTTCTGAAGATGTGTATGGTCTTTTTGTTTCCTTTTTAGTTTGTCTCTTGAATGGTGTGTAAATGTGGTTTCTCTATGTATCCTTTGGTAGCTGATATTTATCTCTGAGTGAGAAGCTTCCTGGAATTCCCTAGAGGTTTTGGATTCAGCTTGATCTAGGATGTTCACAGTTTCCTAGCTGAAATTATGATTGAGCCTGCCATGTATGGCGAGTTTAAGGAGTTTTCATTCTGTATTCTGATTGCTTGTTGGTGTTCATGGATGCACTCTGCTAGTCTTCTTTCTGTCTGTCTTATCACAGCGGCTATTACAGTCCCTGCACTGTATATTGTAGATGACTCCTGTTTTTTTCTTCTTGGGTCTTTTGGTTTATTCAAGGTATTTTATAGGGCTTTAGTTGGGTTTTTGTGCTACAGTGATGCCTGGTGGTTGTAATAGTGTGTTGGTAGTTTGTAAGATCAAAATCTAAAATATATTAAGAATATTTCCTATTAATAGGCTTAATAGCTTTTTATTCCCATAAACATTAGTTGGGATGTTGTAGGTAAGAATAGTTTTTCTATGGAATACAGATTTTAATGTGAAGTTTCATGTGTAAATATACTGTTTCTAAAATACTACATATGTTTCTCTGCAATGCTATACAGTCTTCATTAGAGCTTCAAGATAAAATGTTAACTCACTAATGTTAACTAATTAAATGGTATAATTCTGAATATAATATGCAGCATGTTGAAATTTTTATATTTTCTTTAACATACTTATCCCCTTTTAAAAATATACATCTAATGCTGACATACCACATACAAATTGGGTCACAAAGACCACAAATGCTTGATAAAGTGCAGGAAGAATTTTAATCTGTATGTATTTTCTTTCTTTTGTTTTTAAAAATCTAGTGCATATGTTCAAAGGTTTATGACCACATTCATAATGTAAGGTATGAAAAGTAAAATATACCTTATATTTCTGAGATACAAATGAGCCATAATTCTTGTGTTGTACTTCAAAAGGAACTTTCTTTGAAAAAGACATAGGATTTTTTTCCCCCGAACAGAGGAAATGTAACTATTCATTACAGAACAGAATGAAATGTTTTCATTTGGTCAAAGCAATGCCTATGATGTCAGGATTATATCAATAATTACATCATCCAATCTATAAATACATGCAATTTAATAGGAAATTAGTTAAAATGACAAATGATGGTATAATAATCACTGAAGTTTCTAGGTTTGCTTTTGCTGCTGAGTTTTATTAATAGGGAAATGCCATCATCCCATTAAAGGACCTTACATACTTTATGTAAATATGGACACTTATTTAAAGTGTGCTTCTGCAATAGGTTACCCTGCAGTACTTATACAGTGCTTAAGTTTTTATGTTCAATTTAAAAAAATCACCAGTTCCTATGGAAAATAACATGGCTATGAATGGGAAGAGAAATGAAGGAAATGTCTTCCAGCGATAACTGGGTAAAGGAAACAGGAAACCTGTTTTCAAAAATGACTTCTAGTGTAGCTAAAATGTGATAGAAAAAAATCTATTAATATGGAACACAATTTTGGATTATTTATGCTTGTACAAGTTTAAAAGAGTTCCCCAGGCAATTTAATGTCTTACTTAAGTTCTTTATGCTATTAATCAACGTATAGTTTTAGGGTTGCGGTATAGATTTAGTTCTTTTACCAAAGTGCTTAGACAAAATTTGAGTGAACATACTCACAGACATATTACAAAAAAGTTTTGCATCTGTTGATCTCTGAATAACCCAAATCTGATAATTAAAACAAATTAAAAACAAAAGCATCATAATTTTGTACTTCCTTTGCTATAGTTATGTAGGACTCCACTAGAAGTGAGCTACTGTAGATGAAGAAAAGACCAAGGCCTAGTTAACAATTCTTAACTACTGCCCTAACTGACTTCCTCACTCATCAAGCCTGGATCCTTTAATTTTGATAGATCACTATCAGGCCAATCTATTTGAACCAAGGAGTCCTGAAGAAAATATTTCAGTGTGGAGTTTCATTACCAATGCTGTCAAGAATGTGATACAAACAAGCAAAGGCTACATAGAATAGAATAGAATAGAATAGAATAGAATAGAATAGAATAGAATAGAATAGAATAGAATAGAGCTGGAAGGGACCTTGGAGGTCTTCTAGTCCAGCCCCCTGCTCAAGCAGGAGAACCTATACCATCTCAGACAAGTGACTGTCTAGCCTCTTTTTAAAAATTTCCAGTGATGGAGTGCCCACGATTTCTGGGGGCAAGCTATTCCACTGGTTAATTGTCCTCACTATCAGGAAGTTTCGCCTTAATTCCAGGTTGCTTCTCTCTTTGATCAGTTTCCAACCATTGTTTCTTGTCCTGCCCTCTCCTGCTTTGGTGAATAACGTGACCCCCCTCTTCTTTGTGGCAGTCCCTCAAATACTGGAATACTGCTATCATGTCTCCCCTATTTCTTCTTTTCTGTAGACTAGCCAAACCCAAGTCCTGCAGCCGTTCTTCATATGTTTTAGTCTCCAGGCCTCTGATCATCTTAGTTGCTCTTCTCTGAATTTTTTCCAAACTCTCAACATCTTTTTTGTGATATGGTGACCAAAATTGGCTGCAGTATTCCAGGTGTGGTCTTACTAGGGTTTTATAAAGCGGTACTAATACCTCGTGTGATCTTGATTCTATGCCTCTGTTTATACAACCCAGGATTGTATTAGCTTTTCTGGCTGCTGCTGCACACTGCTGGTTCATGGTTAAGTGATTGTCCACTAAGACTCCAAGGTCCCTTTCACAGTTACTGTTTTTAAGCCAGGCCTTGCCCAATCTGTACTTGTACCTTTGATTTTTCCTACCTAAATGTAAAACTTTGCTTTTCTCCACATTGAAACTCATTTTGTTGGATAGGGCCCATTGTTCAAGTTTGTCAAGATCTTTTTGGATCCTGAGTTTGTCTTCTGGGGTGTTGGCTACTGCTGCCAGTTTGATGTCATCTGCAAATTTGATGAGTTCCCCTTCAATTCCCTCATTTAAGTCATTGATGAAGATATTGAAGAGTACTGGGTCTAAGACGGAACCTTGTGATACCCCACTGTTTACTTCTCTCCATATGGATGTAGTTCTGTTGAGGACTATTCATTGGGTACGGTTTGCCAGCCAGCTAGCTACAGATCTATCTGGTGATGATGTTATCTATTCCACCTTTTTCTAGCTTACCAAGGAGTAGGTTGTGGTCTACTTTATCAAATGCCTTACTGAAGTCTAAGTATACTATGTCCACAGTATTTCGCTGGTCTACTAGTTTAATCACTTTGTCAAAGAATGAAATAAGATTGGTTTGGCATGATCTGTTTTTAATGAACCCATGCTAGCTACTAGTTATAACTTTGTTTGCTTCTAGTTGTTCGCAGATCTGTTTTTTGATTATCTTTTCTAGGATCTTCCCAGGTATTGATGTTAAACTGATTGGTCCATAGTTTCCTGGGTCCGTTTTTTTTCTTCTTTTCTTGAAGATGGGAACC